GTATTGTCGTTGGGGGCGCTGCGCTCTGATTGGTGCACTTTAAAAAAGAAGGGGGTTCTGGCACCTTTATCCCGCTTGCCAACCCCCAATTAATATCACAGCAGCTTCCTGATTGGTTATGTTTCTCACGGCTGATTGTATTGTTGGATTTAAAATATATTTGATTTTGGAATTCAGTCAAAACCGCGGCACGTCATCAGCGTAGCGGCGCGTTTTGTTTTACTGATGCACTAAATTGTAAAAGATTTATCATTTAAATCAAACATTTCTACATTTCTTGCTCACATTGCAGGTTTGATGATTGATTATGAGTCCAAATGTATTATTTTTAACTCATAAAGAACCAGAAAAGTCTGTTTCTAAAGGTTTTAGCGTGCAGTGAACGCACCATACCTCGCGAAACACGTCTTTAAGTCATGAGGCGTTCAGTGAACCTGGGAATCCGGATGTTCTCTGGCTCAGGCTGAGGCCATGATAGAAAACACTGAAATTGTTAAATTGTGGAAAAAGATGTTAACGTATTTACTAAGTGCAAAACTAAAGTGTGTTTCTGGCGTCAGCGCCTCTCAGAGTCCGTGGTGCGTTCAGGTGTCGGCTGATTGGAGGATTTGGGGACTTTATTCTAACACTGCCCTGCTTCGTTGAGACGAAGAGCACTGCCTGATCTGAAGCTGTTTCACTGCGACCTCGTCTCATCTTCCTCATCCTCACCCCTGAACAAAAACACAAAAAAAAATCTAAAAAGTCGAATGGATTTATTTATTTCTCAGTTTCTAAATGTATTTTCTGCCCGGAAACAAACAGCTTCTCTTCCTGTAAATATTTATATTATTATTATTATTATTATTTATTTGTAATGTGAGACGTTGAGACGAGGCGCTGCACTGCCCGACCGTCAACCTGCAGAACCTTCATCTTCCTCTTCCTCCTCCTCCTCCTCTTCCTCTTCTTGATCCCTTTATTCTTCAGAGGTTTTCCAGAAGCATCTTCCCAGTTTACAGTAAACAACAACAACAACAGGCTCCACTTCCTGTTTGTTTATCCTCAGCGTTATAAAATCACTGCCTTCCTATAAATAATAATATTATCAATAATCTCTTTAAATGTTTGATAAAGTTTGCAGAGCAGAAGCAGAGAAGTTATGATGTGATTGTGTTGCGTAGGTTTTGCACTTTTTCTCATTAATAGAAATTACATTTTGACTTTTTGCTGATTTTTTCATGAAAACATTTACAATTTATTTTAAAAGTTTTGCCTCAAATTGTTCCTCAGGTCATTGTCAGGTAATTATATCATTTCATTTTGAGAAATCTCATTTATTTTATGACTTCTTGTTCTATTTAAAAAAATATTAAGTAAAATATATATATATATTTATTTTAAATCAAGTTTGACCCCTGCTCTTCTTCATCCAGAGCAAAACTCCATCAAATAGGAATTTAAAGCCACATTTTTTATAATTAAAATTCCTAATTTGCATTCAGGATACAAAGATCAAAAAGTTTAATCAAAATAAAATAAATACATTAAATTGAAGATGAATCCCTAAAAAGGTGCATTAGAGCTTCAGACTGCAGACAGGGAATTAAACGTTTACTTTTGAATTCATTCAAAGATGCTTTTTGGGAAACTTCGTCTCCTCCAATCAGCCGACGCACGAAACCTTCAGAATGAAAGACAAGTTTTAATTTAGAGGAAAACGTAATCATAATGCTGACATTATCTGACGCTCCGTCATTAACCACGCTGCTGATTCTGCCGCCTTTTTGAATTCAGTAAATTGAGGGGGCGGGGCTACTGAGCTCGACTCTGATTGGCTGCCACGGCCCGGGATTTTTCTTTTGTCCATTTGGTTGCAAATGGATGGACGGATGGATGGACTGAAAGAAAGGAAGGAACCAATCAAAATCCACCGTACTGCCTCTGAGAGAAAGTCTTCCAGTTCGGGGTTTCGGGGTCGGACCAAAACGAGGATTTTAACGGGAACGCTCGCGGCGTTTCACCGTTAGCTCCTCCGGTCCGAGAGGGGAATGTTCGTTCATGTTCGTGAGACTTCAACCAAAACACTCGACAGGAATATTGAAACACGAGAGTCCTCTTTACAAACGTCCAACGCTGCCTTCAGGGCCCGCCAGGAAATCACGTTAAAGTAAATTATACTTTAAATGTCTTCCTCTAAAAGGAGCATATAAGAAATTAAATTTAAATGTAATGACAGCGCCTTCAGACTGATTTAAAAAGAAAATCCGGTTCATATTTATTTATTAAAGTTACCTTTTTCAAATCAAATTGGGAATTAAATGACAATTTTAGTTTTTTATCACTTCCAATACATTTCTCAAATAATTTAACCGTAATGACCAGATGGGCATTGATTGGTCCTAAAATGCGAATTACATTAACGTCCACATGACGTAAACGTGTATTTACGGTAAATCTAGCGTCCCCTGAAGGCAGCATCAGTGTGTAAATAGGACGTAGCAAGAGTAGAAAGGACTCTGCAGTTAAAGAGTCAGCAGCAGGTCGGCTTTTTTAATCTGATTTCACGTCCTAATAACTTCACATGTAATGAGCTGATAATGAGGTCCAGTTTATCGTCAGACCTGCTGCTGCTCTGTCTGTAACTTTATCCCAAAAAAAAATGAGGCTCGGTCTGTTGCATAATGATGATGTCATCGCCCACACACAGACAGAGGATGACGACGAGCTGTTTGAAAAAAACGTCTTTTCTTGTTTCGCTGATGTTTGCACTTTTTTCTGACACACCTTCATATAACGCGTCATATATTAGAGGAAAACAAAAAAAGTCATCGCAAATACGCAGCAGGATGAAAACGATTATTGAAAATAAAAAGGAAATAAAAGCTTCTGTGTCTTCTCGTCTTTCTGAGTTCTGTTTATAAGATGTTATTGACTGCAGGAGATGTGTTAATATGTGTTAGTTATACTTAGTAGTGTCAGACATGTGAGAGGCCACTGTTACATCGGTCTTACTCCGTTCTAATTATCTTTGGAGTACCACAAGGCTCCATACTGGGCCCCCTTTCATTTCCCATAGCGCTGCACATTGGGGTCTTTTATAACAAAATATAACATCTTCTTCCTTCATTATCCCAGCAAGTCTTCCTTTACCATAAATCTAAATAAAACAGACGTCTTCATTTTCCATCCAGCAGACAAAATACTAGCCAGGCTTTTATTGTGAAAGGTCAGAAGGAAAGCAGGTGATCTGGTATTCGCTGCATTGCTTTATTGGGGTCTATTTTAACCAAATAAAATATCTTGTTTGTTATGCATTGAAGCTTCCTTAAACTGAACCAGGCTTTCATTCATTGTTTATTTCTTCAATTCAATATTCCTCCACAGGATTACCCTTTTCTCTCACTGTGGGCAATAAAGAACAAACTAGGGCTTTTATTGTTTATTTATAAGAGACCTTGAGGTTATGAAAGGCGCTATATAAATTCAAGTTATTATTATTATTATTATTGTGAAAGGTAAAGAAGAACTCATTACCTGTATATTAAAAAGAATGGAGACAATTGGATTGATCTGTTTATCAAACTCAGTTAAAAACGCTCTTGTTTTGAAATTCAGTTGTATGGCCTTCAAAGTAAAAGATTTCAAGCTGCTTCAAAGTCAAATAATATTTTTCACAATAAGATCCTTCAAAGTAAAAGCCTGAATCTGTCTCACAATCAGAAATAGTATTTAAGAGATTCAAAGAAATAGTCCTCTTGCTCTTTCACAATAAAAGCCTTCCTAAAGTGTCTTCCCAATCATCTCTGAGCTGCTCTACGGTATAAGACATCTTGCTGTCTCACAATAAAAGCTTTAACTTCACTTCCCAGTAAAGCCCTTTAGCTCCTTCACAATAAAAGCCCTCCTCCTGGGGATCTTGAGAATAGAGAGAGAGACTGAGAGATAGATAGAGAGCGAGAGAGATGGATAGATAGAGAGACTGAGAGATAGAAAGAGAGAGAGAGAGATAGAAAGAGAGAGAGAGATAGAGAGAGATAGATAGATGGATAGATAGAGAGACTGAGAGATAGAAAGAGAGAGAGAGAGAGAGAGATAGAAAGAGAGAGATAGAGAGAGATAGATAGATGGATAGATGGATAGATAGAGAGACTGAGAGATAGAAAGAGAGAGAGAGAGATAGAAGAGAGAGAGAGAGAGAGATAGATAGATAGATAGAGAGAGAGAGAATTTGTATTTATTTAAAATGATTATTATTAGAAAAACACTTGCATGTGGATGGAATGAATCCCTATAGTGATAATAAAATGATTTGTACAGTATGGTACCTGAAAAAGGTCAAATGGCACAGATGGTATCCAAATCAAGGTCGCCGGAAGCGGGGGGGCCAGGGGGCCACTTTTCAGCCCTCCCCCACATTTTCGCAGCGGCAGATGCCAAAAATACACAAACACACACACGTATATACACACGGCGCGGAACACTGTACAAATCCCGTTTCAATAATTCCCTTCTACTCTAAAGTCGCATCTAAAACGCGATCTGATCAAGTTGTGTATATTTTGTTACTTTTGATTGTTAGCCTATATTCAATCTCATTAGCTACAGGTATTTTTGAAGCTTGTAAAGGGAAGATGACAGCTCTCACTCGCCACTCTGATCTTCCACAGCGCCGCTCCCCCTCCCTCCACTGAAATTATGAAATTAAGGTGTATATTAATCATAGATAATAACACGGCAGGGTCCGTTACAGTTTGTTTTTATCTGATTTCAAATAAACAAAGTCTTGGCTTTCAGAATATTAAACTTGTTTCGGCAAATGCAGATGATAAATACAACTTTGAAGCTCGTAAAGGGAAGAAGACAGCTCTCCCTCACACTCTGCTGTTCCGCAGCGCAGCCCCCCCTCCCTCCGCTGACATTATGAATGTAAGGCGTTTAGTAATCATAGATAACACGGCAGGGTCCGTTACAGTTTGTTTTCATCTGATTTCAAATAAACAAAGTCTTGGCTTTCAGAATATTAAACTTGTTTCGGCAAATTCAGATGATAAATACAGCTTTGAAGCTTCGGCATAATTACAAGCGGAGAACGGAGTAACTTAACGTCACAGCAGGCAGAACAACAGCCGGTGTTTCTCGTGAGTGTTTTCCCCGGGAAACAAACACAATAAACACAAACGCAAAAACACACACACACACACACACACACACACACACACACACACACACACACACACACACACACACACACACACACACACACACACACACACACACACACACAGAGAGAAATCTACAGACTTACTCAAAACTTCCAAATATATTAATTAACACACTCTCACTCTCATATACTCTTTAACTCTATTTTGGCCGAGTAGAACAATAAGCAGCAGACTTTTACTTTTTTATCATTTCTATTGGATCTTAGATCTGCGCATGCGCAATACGGTTCGGGGATTGACCAACCGGCTCCCACTTCTCTGCTGTCTGTTAACGTTGTTGATAGTGGTGGGATTTATGGCTCTTTGAAGGGAGCCGGATATTATGGCTCCGTTCCTTTTAAAGAGCCGTTCAAAAGAGCCGTTTTTTTTAAAGGGGGCGGGGTTTATCTGCAAAATAATCACCAGGATATTATTGACTGTATTGCCAGACCTAATGTCAATAATCGGCATTGTAAACATGACACAAGGTGGCACCATATCCATGTCATTCATGTCAGCGAATGTACTTTGAATTTACCCTCTATATGTGTTAAGTAAATAAAGTTTCCTTGTCTTGAATGAAATTCATGCAACTCTTAATATTAGATAATGTGTTTTTAAGTGGCGATGGAGATTATTTGTTGACCCTGCTTTAAAGGATATTTTGCCTTTGGTGCGCTTTATCACTGCCTGGGTTTTGGTTGAAGTGCATCCAAATGCTGCTGCGTTTTCGCGTTTGGCTCATTTTCCATCCGAAAAACACGTCGTCTACCTGTCCTGTACCACTTGTTATGACTTCTCTCTCGCGTATTCCGTTAAAACCAGTGGTGTAGTGGGCGTTAGACGCGGGGGTACGCAGTACCCCCACTTATTTGAAGCGTGATTTTTTTTTAATAGTCGACTAATACATCTAAAATAATTGCCAATGTTATCAGTTGCAAGTGTGTGTTTGTTGTCATAATGAAGAAAACATAATAGGCAGATTTCACAGTAATTATAATAAAAACGTAGCTCAAGCATTTATGCAACTTGATTTGAAGCGTGTGTGTGTGTGAGGGGCAGCACCGTGTGTGTGTGTGTGTGTAGGTAGGGTGACCAGGTGTCCCGCACAGTGCGGGACTGCACACACAGCATTTTTATTATTTGTCCCGCGTCCCACAAATTGAGACTATGTCCCGCATTTGAGTGATAGTCGCGCAGAAAGTCTGGGTTGGTTCGCTGACAGCCGACACCGCCCTTTATTAATATATTGTCTAAACGGCATCATGTAAGTTGCGCTGACAGGCGACACAGAGGTCCCCCCCTCCCCACTACACCACTGGTTAGAACCAAACCCATCTCACTCATCGTGCTGAAACTGAAACCTACCAATCAGAGTAGGGGCGGGTCTTCAAAGAATACGTTCGGGAAACAAAATCAAGCTTTATAAAAGGCGAGTGGATTTTGGCAGGCAGTGAGTGCGGACCAACGATTGAACGATGACAAGAACGGCTCTTACCGAGTAGGACTCGGTTCCCCTCGTTCGTACCAAAGAGCCGTTCAAAAGAATCGGCTTGTTCGCGACCGACACATCACTACTTCATTTGCCTAATCCTCCCTCAGGGACTTATTCCGGTGTGAACGCGATCTGTACTTAGTTCATGAGAACTAAAGAGTTCTGATTAACTAAGTTCTCATGAACCTTTGTGGGAAAAGTACTGCGGTGTGAATGCGCCTAATGAGACGACAGGTAAAAGTCTGGTCAGCTGGTTGTTCACATGACTGCAAACACACATTACTTCCGTCACTCCCTCCAGCAGTAATTCCGTTTAATTTAACTTCATCCAGGAACGCTTGTTCTAACCCATATGCTTATATCTAACACGTTTTTGGTTCCTACACCGCAAGCCACCTACAAACATTTTAAAACTCACATTGATGGTGTATCATGTTTTTTATAAAGCAAACACAAGACAGAGACATTTCTCAGGGAACAATGTTGAATGTTTAGAAAAATATGGATTGTTTATTTGACCCTTCTGTAATAATCCATTTCCATATTGTTTAACTCCTTTGATGTCAATGGGACACAGTCTATATCCACATGAGCAGTGGTATATCTGTTATTAACAACACATTCATTCACTTCTCATCTTAATAACGGTTTTGCAAAGACACACACAGTATAGTAGTAATTTATCCTTGGTTAAGTGGGTTTTCTATTCTGATCTCACGAAACAGTGATGATTTATAGTTGTTCTTTAAGAATCTATTGAAAACAGACAGTGTAATACAAAGTTTATCCAGTACAGACTTGTCCATAATACTGCTCATAGAATAGCTTATTTACAATTGTCTACTGGAAGCAAAAAAAACCTGCCATTGCTTTAAGAACAAAAAAAGCTAGCCATCACTATTTTAAATTAAAAAAACAAAATCTAAAACAGAAGATCATTTTTATTATTGATTGTGCTTTGTAACCCACAAAACCACTTCGTTTTTAGAAATGGAACTCTGAGAGGCACCAAATAGAAGTGCTTACAACATCCATTTTAATTTCTCTCATTAAGTTTAACTAGAGCTATGAGTAGGACAGGGTGTACAAATGTATTTTTATGTTCATTTATTTGTATATTTATAAAGTTATTACAGGCTCAACCTAGTTCATCATCTGTGGTGGTGTTGTGTTGCACAACAGAAGTCACGGAGAAGTCGGTCTATGTGTTTAACCATGCAAAGCCCTTTAACATTTTCCAGAAAAGGTCACAGAATAGATCTGTTGGGGCGAAGGGGCAGGATAAAGGCTTGAACAGACCTGATGAGCGTGTTCTCGCTAAACCATACACAGAATGAGGCCATAGCCTGAAGACGAATAGGGTAACCAAGACAGTGGAAAAATGGGCAAGTTAGCTGGATAAATTCACCCTCCCCCAACTACTACCCTCTTTGACTTCAGATCTAACTGGGCCTGTGTATGAAGTGTACAGTGTCGCTAGTTTTTCCGGTCTCTTGCGTTAAGCTAGTGGATGTTCTAGAATCCTTGACATTGCAGAAACATAGTCAAATAGAGTGAAATCACCACCATCCTACCCTGCATCCAACTCTGAAGGAAGGCCAATGTACCCATGTACCTCTGTCCCCCCCACAACCTGTCACTAGACAATGCTGCCTCCAGCCGTGCAGCTGGCTGGCTGCTGTCACACAGTCACCTCGGTCTTGCTGCCTGTACGGTAGTGGTGTGGCTGTGGTTGCTGCTGGTGGTGTGGTGGGATATAGTGGAGCTGCTCCATAGTGTGAGTCCGTCTGGAGGCAAACGCCTGTCTCTTGGTTGCTGTCTGGTTCAAGGCTAAAGTGTTGGAATGCCCAGTGCCTCCAGCCCCGGCCCCGACACCGACCCCGCCGCCATTGTTTGAGGCACTGGGATGGGAGTGCATTTTGGTCATCTTGTAGTGATCCATAAGTGGTGTGGTTGGAACGAACACGTCTGTGTGTGAGATGGCACGCGACATTGACTTGTCGCTTCCACGAAACCCGCCAGAAACACTGCTTACCATGCCACGCTTCAAAGACCTCATCAGCCTTTCCGGTGAGAGCAGAGGATCCTGGGATAACAGGCGGTCTTGTGAGTACAGGCGATCTTGTGAATAGAGGTGTTCTTGAGAGTAGTGGCGGTCCTTGGAGTAGATGTGGTCCTGTGACAGGAGTCGGTCCTTAGTGTAAATGCGATCATTAGAGTACAGACGGTCTTGGGAGGTGTGGCGGTCCTGCGGGAGGAGACGCTCCTGGGATCGAAGACGTTCCGCGGACAGGAGCTGTTCGTCTGAGAGGATGCGGCCTCCATATGGGGACATACCATTCGAAGATATGTTGTATTCCTGCTCTTGGGCTCTCTGAGGGGACAGCACGCGGTCCTGGGACATGGCCCTCTGGACACGACGGGGCCTCTGCCTTTGCTGAGACTGTGGCTGTGAAGACTGCGACTGGGGAGGGGCCTGGGAGGACTGCAGGGGCTGGCTCTGGAGCTGCTGGTCCCTGTGCTGTGAAACAAAGGATGAATGACGTTGGTTTATTCATAAGCTAAGGGGTAAAAGGCTCTGCCAGCTACCACTACAGGAAGAAGAGACAGATCGGCTTCAGCTACAAACTATTTAAAAACCGGAGACTCATTAGAGGCTTCTCAATTCTTAAATTTCCCCTCCTCGACTCCTCGGTCCTCCGGTCGTGACCCGGAAATGAATTTCAGCGCGCCATGAAGGACATCTAATTTCTCTAAATGCACATCGAGGACCGAGCATCGAGGAGGCTCTCTGGAGGAGCTATGACCGAGGATACACTGATGGGTCCTCCACAACTCTTCCGCGGATGCATTTCCGGGAACGGTGGAGGCGTGACGCACGGACGGACTTATCTCAGCCAATGACAGCTCTGCATGCATCCCCTGGATATTATTTTAGTAACTGCTTTCATCGCGATGCGATGTTTACAGTGAGAACAGCTGTGAGGTCCGTGCAGAAAGCAGAGCAGTGTGTAAAATATATATCACTCAGTATAACAGGCCTACTCTCTTTATTTGCTGTAGTTTAGTAGATAACTACAAACAGACTCATATTTTTCTAAGACCATTTAGTGCTTCACATAATAAAATGCACAACGGCTGTAGCCTGATTATGCTTTAGGTGCTGTAGGTGTGTGTGGTACAGTCCGTAGGTGTGTGTGTTGTACAGTGTGTAGGTGTGTGTGTGTGTGGTACAGTGCGTATATGCGGCAGACAGATGGGTCTCAGTTGGTTTGGTGTCCTATGCTTACTTTTAATACTTGTAAATACAACTTTTGGCCCGTAATTTCAATTCCCCATTTCAGCGACCAGAGGGGGGATATATTCAGTCTCTGATTGTGTTACGTTATTATGAGAGTGTTCTCATACTTGTTTGATTCTGAAATTGTATATATTTATATAAATGTGTGTGTGTGTGTGTGTGTGTGTGTGTGTGTGTGTGTGTGTGTGTGTGTGTGTGTGTGTGTGTGTGTGTGTCCGCATCTGTAGCCTGTTATTGTCTCATTATACCGCACTGTGAATGAATTAAAAGTAAATATATAAGTGGTCATGAACACATCTGTCCATCAGACAGAGTGCTGCTGTGCCTCCTGTCATCATTAATGGACGTCTCTTTAAAATGACCGCTCAGAGGAGAGGAGTTCTCATTTCTCTAACCGCCTGCTGCTTCCCCTCCTCTCTCCTCGGTTCCCCTCCTCAGTCCTCCGCTCGCATCTCCTGTGGGCGGGACTAAGACACAAGGATAGGAGTCGAGGAGGGGAAATGTAAGAATTGAGAAGCCTCTACCATAAAAAGTAAAGAACATGAACTTGTCTCAGAATCAGAAGGAATTTTACTAAGTTTTGTGGTGCATACATAAAAGTAAAACAACAATTAAAAGACAGATAGAGAACTAGAAAAAATATTAAAAATAATAAAAAATATAAATATAACAGTATTGACATTGCAATGGAACGGAATAAAAAGGAATAAAATATGGAATACAAATACAAATCTGCAGCAATCAGAAAATAAAACAGATATTGTTGTACATTTTGTGCATTCATGTAATTGGATGTCTGCACACTTAAACCAAGCACTTGTACCCACCTGCTCATGGGTCAGTTTTAGAACATGCAAGGGTAGAGTGCCTCTTGCTGCCAGGTCAGGCAGGTGGCGCTTGCGAGTGTAGTAGTCGTCGACTTCTTTATCTGCTGCAGGATAGATGGAAAAAACACAAGCAAGAAGTGAAGAGGAGATTCAGGGAGTGAAAGCAAGAAAACACAAGGCGAGGTGTAGAATGCAAGGGGAGACATCGGATAAAGTGGGATTGGAGAACATTGCGAACAATTCAGAGAATAGTTTTGGCGGACCCATCTGTATTCCACCTTTCTAAGCTTATGGAGGGGAATAGATTACAGAGAGGCACAGAGGAATCACTGCATGCAAGGCACATGACATCACACATCCAGGATTCCTCTGGGAATCTACAGGCAGCCCTGTCTGTGGGGGCAAAATGTCAAAGTTCATGTGAAAGTCTATGAACAAACATTGTCATATCATACAGATGTGGAGGGAAGCACGCAGGCACCTCATATACACATGCTTGGAATGTTATTGTATTATTGAACAATGATTTCATATTGAGAATTGTGTCCCTGAGTGTGTCCTTATTCTGTACAAACAACTGCAACATGCATTCAGTAGCAGATCACAAAGACAAGAATACATTTCCATAGATAGTAGAGTATCATCACTTGCATGCCACACAACCAGAAACACATGCACGAAGACTTTGGTACAGATCAACTAACATAGTGATACACACAAACTCTGTCAGACATCTTATTAATGTGACGAAATGCTGCATGAATTCAAAAATGGAACACGAATAAGTCAATTGTCATGATGACACACATCCTTTATTCTTTCTGGTCATAGCCATGAATGTTTAACCACCATACCAACTCAGGGGTGTCATTTTGATAGCGAGCATGAATGATGGAGAGCAGACCTCTCCACCTTGCAGATGACCCTGTGTCTGTCTTTTATAATATTGGCTGCAGCAGTTTTCACATCAGCTGTCAAGATTACATTCAGCCAGACTCTCCTTCAGCATCCAGCCACGGGTGCTAGCTGCAAATTCATTTGTTACGAGAGATAATAAAAATAAGATGTTCCATTTTCAATCGTAATAGTCTTCAGGATAAGGGCAGGAGGGCCTTGCAACTCATCAACCATATTATCAAGGAGTGAATGAATAACGTACTGTACTGTCCTGCACTGGAATGGGCTAAATGCTTCAGTTTGATTCCAATTTGCATGAATAAGCAGTGGCATTCTTCTCTTTTATGACCCAGCAATGAAACAGTGCTCTATCTTCCCTCTAGCACAATCCAACGTGATCTATCAGAGCACAGACACTAGTTGAGCACCAAAAAGAACCCGCAGAGCCTTTCGGCTATTTACTGAAACAAATCATTTGCTTTGGAATCAGAAAGAAAACTGGGAAGAATGAAGGACTGCCTAAAGATATGTTTTCATTTTAACACTGCTACTATCTTTGACATTCGAAATGATTTGCTTTTGTTTTACAGCCTTAATGATTACACTAGTTCTTCATGCAGAGGACGGTAATGGTTTTTCCTCCCAATACAACTGAATCCTGCCAACATGGTTTGCTTTTAGTCTGAAAAGATGCATGGCAGTTAAGAGTGGGAGCCAGTGTGGAGTGAGCCCTGACAGGATGAGTTGTAGATCGTCATCCTTCACTTTGACTGCATGCCAGCAGTAAAGTTGAGCAGTCAAGATAACATTACACAAGGCTTCAGGGATATTTGCGTTCCAGTCGAGGAATATCATGAGAAATCAATACTGAGACGGGTGGGGCAAAAAAAGCAGTTTAATTTACTTACTCGTTTCAAAATCAATAGTGGCCTTTAAGTGGAAATAGGGAAAGCATGGAATATCAATGAGTCATAGTTTAATGAGATGACAACGCTGATTTAATGAAGGATCAGATCTGATTCTGATTCAGCCTCTCCGTCCACTGAAATGATCAGGGAGTAGCAAAAATATATGGGGTCTTTCCCGACTCTAGGTCATCCTTCTCAGAGTGAGCAAATCCTTTTCACAGCTGAAACAACTCCCAGCTACTCAGTAAGTCCCGGTCAGGAAACTAAATGCAGTGTTTGCGTCATGCAGGGCTTCAGGGCAGGGAACCTACTCTTGCATTAGTGCAGTGAACTTGGACCTACTGAGTTTCTTCAGGGATGAGAACCGGCTGAGGTCGGCTTTGACGCCCGGCTCATAGGAGGGCGGCAGGTGAGACAGGCTCTGGAAGGAGCGTGAGAAAGACAGGTCGTAGGGCTCCGTCTGCGAGGTCAGGATGCCACTTATCCGATTGTTTTCTGGAGACACATACATACATACATACATACATACATACATACATACATACATACATACATACATACATACATACATACATACATACATACATACATACATACATGTACAGAGACAGAAGAGGGAAGAGAAAGAGATGGAAGGCTGGCTCCTCCTACCCTAGCTAGGAAATCTAGCTGGGAGGTGAGCTAGAGCCGGGCAGGCTAGAACTTTAGAGTCACAAAGACTTGAAGGCAGAGCTGAATTCAACACATTTCAAAGAAAAATCTCTCTAGTCTTTGTCCTCTTGAATTTTAGCAACACTTACTTAAGAAGAGAGCAGATCTGCCTGAGCTTTATTTCAGCACGGTATTGGAGAGTGCCAGCCTGCGAGAAATGTTTGCATATCTAAAACTCCAACTTGCTGGTGGCCGATTGGGGGGTATAGGCAGTCACATAAGGCACTCAGGGGGTGTTTGCTGTGGGACTGACTTGAATGGTGATGTAGTGGTCAGTGGTTTCACAGGAGGAAAGAGTGGTCCAGAATAAAAAGAAAATAAGACATCAAATGACAGAAGTGTGCTGGAGTGCTGCTCCTGACAGTGTTTGGATGTGATCCCGGGCAGGGAATGTTGGTGGGCTTTAGTTGAGGTGAAGTGATATGATGGCAGGAATATGCACAGAAAAGGAGGGCTGGGTTGGGGGGTAAGGGGTGGTGGTGTGGTGGTTACTCGACCAAAGCTCTCTGATACTTTCCCCTTCTCTTTACCATCCTCATACATGTACGCAAACATCTGAGTCAGTCCTATTCACCTCCGTCCTCCTTCAATCTTATCAGCCCCACCATGCTGCCACCCACTTCCCTTCACTCCTTAATTATTTCACTCCTGCTTTATATGCTTTCCCCAGCGTGCTGCGAGTCTGTCACACAGTGCAGAGCAGCGTGCATGGGTGCGGCCACAGCAGCCTCCAATGGACAGATACAAATAAGGCCTTAGTAACTGCTGCAGAATGGAGTGAAGGAAATGAAAGACGAGAAGAGATGGAGATAAAGATAATCTTAAAGGGAAAGAAGGAACAATTGTGTGAGATGAAGCAAGGAGGTAAGCCTGGGAGAATGGGACAGCTGAAGATTGGAGGCGGTCCTGGGGGGG